GTGGGGTGGGGTGGAGGGGTGAGGCGCGGTCCGGCGAGCGCGCGCGATTGAGTGACCGATCGCGGATTGTGTGAGAGGGGGCGTAGTACGCGCGTGCAGGGCGGATGGGCGCGTTCGGATAGCCGACGGCGGCGCTGCGTAGGCCGGGATGTGGGTGGAGGTGGGCTTATCAAGAGGGGAGGGCATGGCGGCAGGAGCGCGTGCGCACGCGCAGGCGCGCGCGCGTGCATGCGCGCACGCTTGCATGCCCCGACAAGCGTCGAGCCGCACCGCCAGGATGACGCGATGGCAGAACAGCCGGCGCCCGTCGGGCGCGACGAGCGTCAAATCACTGAAGAGCTCCTGGTTGAAGAAGCGCACGGCGCCGCCCTGCAGCGCGTCCCGCTGGAACACAAACGCCTGCGCACGCACGCGGCGACGGCACCGGGAGTTTTGGTCCCGCCTCCCAGGCGCGGTCCCCTCGCACGGTTGGCCCCTCCTCACCACCTCGGCCCTGACCACCGGGCCCCTATTCATCCCAAATCGGCTCCCAGTTATCCCCCAAAGACTGCAGCAACGAGCATCGTCGGACACGCCCGTGTACTGCAATCCTGCTGGGAAGCAAATATGTTTCGAGCACCCACCGGTGTGTTTTCCATGCTGAAATTTGCCGCGTTTTAGCCCACCCGCGCAGCGCGGGCGCCCCAGCTCGCCAGCCAGCACAGGTACAGCCTCCTCGGTGAGGGGCACCTCTACTTCGAAACGGTGCTCGCGAATGATAAGAATCTGTACGTCACTGCCAAAGGACAGAGCGTTTGCCCATGCCGCTGGCAGCGATAGGACATGAATAGGAATGATGCACCGGGACGAAAATGGGCCCGAGGAGCTGCTGTTGTAGTTCCGACACAACAATCAACTCTGACGCCTTCGGTACACCCCTCGCGGTTGACACACACTGCCGCCGCCCCCGCTGTCCCGCACGGAGACGCCGGTACAAGCCGTCACACCCTCATAATAATGGTACCCCGCACCCAGGTCGGACTCAGCGCATCAGTTTGGTTGCAACCAGGCACCTGATAAATGGTAATCTGCCTCTTTTATCCACGCCAGCCCGCCTCCACTTAAGCGTGCAGGCAGAGCGGAGAGAGCCGCCAACTGTCACCGCGACTAAGCGGCATGGGTGCGCCTCCCCCCTCCCCCGGGGCGAATCTAGTGAACGACCTGCCCCCGCTTGCTCTCTAATACCTTTTAAAATCCAGTGCTTGCACAATCTATAGGACTGTGCGGCCACATATCACCTCCAGCTCTCCACTGCAGTCATCCGTACACATCGACACGCGGGCTGCCGGTCTAGGTGTCTACAAGTCCCATTCTGATTCCGCGCCGCTGTCGCAGCAGCATGCGCGCAGGTGAAGAGGACGCGCCAGCCTTGTACCCCTGGCTTCATACATGCTCCCTGAGCAGCTGTTTGTGCCCTTGTGCGCTGGGTTGTGTGCAACATGCATTGTGGTGGTGGGATGCGCTGCGCCCGTCATGACCACCTAGCTCACTTTGTCCAATTGCACATCTGTTCACGGCCGCGTCTTGATCCATAGGTAGAAACCCATCACATGCTGTTACAATCGCACTGTTCGGGAAACCGTCGCTGATGCGACACCCAACCATCACGGCCTGCCACAGGCGCTTGCTCATATTCCACCAACGCCCTGCTTGCGACAGGGGCGGGTTATGTACAGCTGCGGCCTGCCGTCAGGCAGCACACAAGCCTGATCTCCCTGTTGAGCGCGCAGCGACGGGCGGCCACTGGGCCGGCTGCGCCGGGCGCACAACGCGCTCCCTGCATGCTACGGAAGCAGGCCCTTGCACAGCGGGAGCGCCCAAGCCGCGACGGCGCGGCCAATGGCACGCGCAGTACTGTCGGCTGCCTGATCACTCGTAGTGCGGCGCTGCTCTGCCTACCCCTTCCCTGTTGCAAAGCTGCCTCTGTCTCGCATGTGTGTGAGATGGCCTGCGGAAGATGAGGAAAGCTGCAAGTATCGCTGCTGCCTTGGCTGCAAGCGCCGGGCGTGCAGCAGCGGGCGCCTGACTGCGCCACTGCAGAAGCCGGGCGCTGCGCCACGTGCGGCGCTGTGCAACGTGCGGCCCGCGTCCGCTGCGGCCTGCGCCAGCGACGGGGCGCATGCCCTCAGCGCGTAGGTGCCTGGTTGTAGTGCTTGGTGTCCTTCTTGGACGCGGCCTTCTTGGCACGAGCCCGAGCCTCCGCAGCAGCCAGGGCCGCCGCTGCCGCCGCAGCATTCTTCTTCTTCTTATCCGCCTCTGCCTTCTTCTGGGCGGCCAAGCGTGCCTTCACCTGCAAGGGCAGGGGCGGCGGCGGCGGGAGACGGGTTTTGAGCCACTTGGCTGAGTAACAGCGACGAGGGCTAGCTTCAGAGGCTGCTCTATAATGAAAGGCACTAGAGCCAAACCCTGAGTGCCATGCCGCAATGGGATGCAGTCATTATGCCGCCCAGCACGCCGGCCAAAATGCCCCCGCTGATGATGGGAGAGCCCCATGCATGGCAGCGCTTGCCCCGGCCCCTGCCCCCAACGCACCACTGCAGGGTCCACCACCTCAGCCGGCTCCGCCTCGGCCTGGGCCTCCGGCGCCGCGGCCGCCGCCTTGCCGGCCCCGCCCCCGCTGCTGCCCGCCGCCGCGGCCGCCGCCGCCTCGCCGCCCTCCGCGTGTCCGTTCTGCTGCTGCTCGCCCTTCGCGGCTTTCTTCTTCTTCTTCTTGCCGCCGGCGCCCTCGTCCTTGCCGGCGGCGTCGACGGCAATCCCCAGCTCGGCAAACACGGCGTCAAGCTCCTCCAGCTCCTTCTTCTTCAACTCCTTCTTGGACAGCTGCCGCTCGCGCTCCGCCGCAGCCGCGGCCGCGGCCGCCTTGCTGGCCGCCGCAGCGGCGGCGGCGGCGCTGGAGGTCACGTCGGCGTCCCCTGGAAGAGTGGGGTTGGGGTAGAAGGGGAAGGGGTGAGGTGGGGCGGCTGAAACCCACTGTGTCGCGCGAGGTTTGCGCCGCCAGCGGACCGCCTGGTGCGCCCTGCTTGCCAAGCAGCAACTGGCGCGGGCCCAACCCCAGCCAAAACGGGCGGGCGGGGAGTGGCGCCGCGCACCCTCTGGCTTGCTGTCCTCGGCGTCGGCCTCGTCCTCGTCATCGTCGTGATCTGGCGCCACCTCAAGCCCCAGCTCCTGCTCTATGTCCACCTCCTACGATTGCAACAGGTCAGCGAGTATGAGGCTGCAGCTGCCCCAGTCCCGCGGGCTCGGCCGCTCATATGATCAGGTATGCCAGCAACCAAAGGGCACGGATCCCAGCGTGCTTGCTGCTCCGTCGGGGACGACAGGATCCGCCGGCTGCAGCGCCATCGCGAATGCGCGCTGCTGCAAGGCCGACTCAGCGCACCTCGTCGCTCTCCTCGTGCTCTTCCTCATGCTCCTCCTCGTGTTCCTCCTCCCCGGCCGTGCCAGCCGCGGCGTCCTATCATTAGAGGTCACAGCGGCCACAACATTGCAGGTAGGGGAAGGATCTGGCTGACGGGGGCGCAGGCGTCGCAGCGGGCGCCCGGCCATGCATCGCGCGCGTCGGCTCGGCCTTCGGTTGCGTACGGGTCCGCACCTCGCCCCACTCGGCAGGCAGCGCCGGCATGGCGTAGTCTCCATCCTCGTCGTCGTCATCCGCCCAATTGCTTATGCCAAGGCTCGGTTGGCTGAAGATGGCCTTCTCTAGGTCGGCCGTCGACACAGACTTCTTCTCGTCCTTGCTGCGCTTCTTCTTACCACCGTCATCCTTCTTACTCTTGCTGGACTTTTGCAGGGCGGCGAACGTATTCCTGGTCGCTAGCGAGGCCATCGTGTGCCCCCTGGCCCAGTGCTGCGTCGCTTAAATGGATCGGAGATGACGGAGAATCCTACTAAACAGATTTAATCAGCAGTGACGGGATGGCGACGCTGCGCCGCAAGAAAAGAGGAATGCGAGTGATCTACACAACAGTCTCGAGTCCAATCAATTCGATCGATGGTTTAGATCTGGCAAGGGAAGTGGTGAGCGCAAACCGCAACACTTCGGCACAATGAAGGGCAGCAGTGGGATCTGGGCGGCCGCCCAGCACGACGACACGGGTAGGTGATGGGGCGCCACGTCACAATTGGGCCTTTGTTCGTGAAAAAGGTTGCGCAAATGACACTGGTCTGGCATCCTTACGAACTTGAACTACAATTGCGCGGCATGCAGCGGGCCCCTGCTTTGGCCTGGCTGCCAACCAACTAGTCGGAGGCTCATCAGAGTGCACTAGTACACCATGTCATGCTGGACCGGTGATGAAGCTGGTGGCACACTCGGGGCCTCAACGCAGTCCCCAATATAATTCTCAACCTTGACCTTGTGGATTTTCCAGCAAGAGACCGATGAGCGAGCGCTTGCCCGGCTCTGATCGTTGTCTACAGCCTGCACGTGTGCGCATCTTGCGACAACAGGTTGCCACCGCACACCCCACCAATCATCCCGCCGGCGCTCACCGCCCCAGCACAAACAGCTGCAGCTAGGCGCCGCTAGTCACGCAACACCAGCTGCGTCCCCACAACCGTCTGCCCTGCGCAGGTCTGCACCACAGCCCAGTCCCACAGAAGCCCAGTGCCCCACAAGCGGCGGTCAGGAGACTGTGACGTGCCAACGCACATGCAAACAGGCAAGCAAGCCCAGAAGCCCACATACTTGATGACACAATCAGGGTTCGTCACCACACAGGTCTATGACCTCCACGCTGCCACTGACATCCCTCGGCCCCTGCACAACCCCTGGCACCGCAGACCCGCGCGCCCCCACGGCCGCGGCC